AGCACTGTAACCACTGTACTATGGGCACTGAGCCTGTAGCATTGTTTTTAAGAGCAGAAGGATATCTCTAAATGCCCAGAATGTCCATTTTGTTGATTAAATTAATTATGGTGTGACCATATAATAAAGTCCCTAGTCATTACCATATCTTTTCATTTATATGAATCCAGAACAGGAATAAATATGTATTTATTTATATCTATGATAGAATATCTCAAGAAGAAGTTCCTCTGGGGACATAAGTGAGAGAAAAGACTTGCTTTTCACTGTGTCCTTTCGTACCTTTTGAACACACTCAGGGTGTACTAATTGAAAAATAGATTTTTTTAACAGAGTAGAATTAGGAGCCAGAGTTATAAGCACATATATGTGTTAATTCAGTGTGGCATAATATATTTTTTTTTTTTTGAGACGGAGCCTCAAGCTATCCCCCTGGGTAGAGTGCCATGGCATCACTCTCACAGCAACCTCCAACTCCTGGGCTCAAGCGAGTCTCCTGCCTCAGCCTCCCAAGTAGCTGGTACTACAGGCGCCCGCCATAATGCCTGGCCATTTTTTGGTTGCAGCCATCATTGTTGTTTGGCGGGTCCAGGCTGGGGATTCAAACCCGCCACCTTAGGTGTATGTGGCTGGCGCGTTAGCCGCTTGAGCCACAGGCGCTGAGCCAGTGTGGCATAATATTAATGCTGAAAATATTTTGGAGATTTAGATTTAGGCCACTTCATTTAAAACCCAAAAGCTGAGATCTAGAGAGATGTAAGAACATAACTTATTGTTGTTAGAGGCAGACCTGTAACCCAAGTCCCCTGATTATCTTTCCCCCTCTGAAAGTCGACAGTTTACATTTGTGGCTTGAACTTTGACATCTTAAATTAAACTGATTAATATATTGATGCTAATTTGAGGACAGAATACCTACCTCAGTGCATGTCTTCTTTTTTAACCTATATTTTGGAGGCCATTTTTTGGTCTGAAGTTTGACAAAATCAACATATTAATGAGTGGGGATCTTATAGTATATTTCTATCATTCTAAGATTGTGTGGGTAAATAATGCAGTTTATGGATGTTAAGAATGCTGTTACGGGGGTTTTATTTGTTGGAATAACCTCAAGAAACTGGAGCATTCTAAATATGTCATTCATTCCATTTGGCTTCCAGAAATTTCCTGGAAAATAATACTTGGCATTCTTGGCTAATTATAAAAGTCTTAAATGCTTATTCTAAAATATTTACACTGGGTTGGGCACAGTGGCTCATGCCTATAAACCTAGCACTCTGGGAAGCTGAGGTGGGTGGATTGCTTGAGCTCACAAGTTCGAGACCAGCTTGAGCAAAAGCGAGACCCTGTCTCTAATAAAAATAGAAAAACTGGGGGCAGCGCCTGTGGCTCAAAGGAGTAGGGCGCCAGCCCCAAATGCCAGAGGTGGCATGTTCAAACCCAGCCCTGGCCAAAAACTGAAGAAAAAGAAAAAGGCCAGAGGATCACTTGAGCCCAAGTTGGAGGTTGCTGTGAGATATGATGCCATGACACTCTACCTAGGGCGACAGCTTGAGACTCTGTGTCAAAAAAATAAATAAACATTCAAGCTGTACAAAGGTTTTTACTGTGAAACACATCAGCACCACCAGTTGTGTTGTGCAGAGGCAGTCATTGTCTAGTATTATGCCCTATACCTTGGGGACTCATACTTAAGAATGATATCTGTTATCTGTGTTTAATAGTTTGTGTCTGTGACTACCTCTCTGTGTTTTTCTGAAAATACCTTGTTATTCCCAAGATAAAAACTCTCAGAATTTCTGTTCATAACACAATATAATGTTTCTTTGTAGTAGGCAGGGAATGCCCTCTTTTGTTAAAAGTAATGTGAAGCAGTTTATAAGGCGTTTTGTAAATAGACCGTTTATATCTGGTGATTCTCTCTCTTAGCAATTTTTTCTCTTAGCTGCCATGTAGTAAAAAAAAAAATTTGTTTTAATTTTTAAAATAGCTGTTTAAAAAACAGATTAAATGGGTTTAGAAGTTTAGGAACTGAAACTACTACTTTTTGGTCCTCTGATTATTAATTTACTCTCAACAGATTATTTTAGCTCATACTCAGCTTTATTCGTCCTTTAAACATTTTATGGAATCATTGTACATAAGAACTTGTGGCAGCTGTTCTTTAAAATATTGTGCATTCATCTGTATCCAAGCAAGTACAGAAAATGATTTTTTTCTTTAGAAAATTATTCATTTTTATGTTGGTCTAATTTTGAAGAAGGAACACAAGCTATTAGAAAGGACTCATCTGCAGAAGCAATTTGGAGGGCATGTCACAGATGTAATAAGGTATAGCTCTTCTGCCATCTGGAGTACCAGCAAAACCCTTTGGCAGTAACGGCAGAACTGAGGAGTATTGGACGTCAGGGACATTGCATTGCATTCATTGTTAGAATCAAGATCATTGTATTAAGTGTGTTATTGCATGTGATTCTCTGGAAACTATTAATATGTCTAACCATCTAGTTTGTAAATCAGGATTTCCTTATTATAGGTTATCACATAAATAATCTAATTTCTGTAGGAAAAATATTCCAAAGCTTTAACCTGAGATATCTGGGGAATGTCTACACCCACTACCTCCCTGGCAGCAGGAACAGAGACTTGCCTGATACCAAGGGGTGTAAAGAGTGGGCAGGGGAATGGGGGTATCTCCTCTGGCCAGGGAGATTTGCAAATGTATGTATTCTTCCTTATGTAAGTCTTCTTCTGGCTGGAAGATTCTGAGATCATTATTTCCCAGATCACTGTCTTTTTCCCTCTTCTTAGCTCTAGTCTCACATTATATGAATTCCCACTAGAAATATTTCCCACTAAAAATATTTATTAGACATCTAGTGAGATGTCAATGGAACCTTTAAATTCATATGTTCAGAGAATGACTTCCTGGGCAGGGCCTGTGGCTCAGTGGGTAGGGCGCCGGCCCCATATACCAAGGGGGTGAGTTCAAACAAAGCCCTGGCCAAACTGCAACAAAAAAATAGCTGGGCATTGTGTTAGGCGTCTGTAGTCCCAGCTTCTCAGGAGGCTGAGGCAAGAGAATTGCCCCAGCCCAGGAGTTAGAGGTGGTTGTGAGCCACGGCATTCTACTGAGGGCAATAAGTGAGACTCTGTCTCTAAAAAAAAAAAAAAAAAAAAAAAAAATTCGTATGTTCAGAGGATGACTTCCCAACTCCTCCCTGTTGGTTCCCTTCTCCACTCACACCTTCATATTCTTTTTTTTTTTTTTGAGACAGAGCCTCAAGCTGTCACACTGGGTAGAGTACTGTGGCATCACAGCTCACAACAACCTCCAACTCCTGGGCTCAAGCGAGTCTCCTGCCTCTGCCTCCCAAGTAGCTGGGACTACAGGTGCCCGCCACAATGCCCGGCTGTTTTTTGGTTGCAGCCATCATTGTTGTTTGGTGGGCCCAGGCTGGATTCGAACCTGCCAGCTCAGGTGTATGTGGCTGGCGCCTTAGCCGCTTGAGCCACAGGCGCCAAGCTGACTCCTTCATATTCTCTTTGGAGTGCTCCACCATTGACTCAGTCCACATTCAGGGGAACATACTCCCATGTTCTGTTGGTCACTTCATCTTATATGGGCGTCCCAAAGTTTGCTGTATGTACATAGGGCAAATAGGAAGTTGTAGCTAAGTGTACCTTTATTTACATAATATTCATTACAGAATTTTATGTATTGTTTCTCTGTGTGTTGATATATAAATATAAAAAATAAAAATATAAAGTATACAATTTTAAACACTGAGGCTTAGGAATAAATTAAGAATAAAAAAGAAAAAAGTATATAATTTTATTAATTTTCCTATGTTTGATGACCTTTAGGATATTCTATAGCTTCTTCCTTCTGTATTTCAGGAGACCTGTCACTTCTAGCCCCTACTGTCCTAATCCTTTGTCAACCTGAATTACTACAGAAACCTGCTTGCTTTTTTTTTTTTTTTTTGAGACAGAGTCTTACCATGACAACCCTTGGCAGAGTGCTGTGGCGTCACAACTCACAGCAACCTCAAACTCTTGGGCTCAAGCAATTCTCTTGCCTTAGCCTCCCAAACAGCTGGGACCACAGGTGCCTACCACAACACCTGGCTATTTTATGTTGCAGTTGTCATTGTTGGTTAGCTGGCCCAGGCCGGGCTTGAACCCACCACCTTCAGTGTATGTGGCTGGCACCATAACCACTATGCTATAGGCACTGAACCAAAACCTGCTTTCGGGACAAACAGGAGTGAGGACTTTGGAGAGAAAGTGTTGGGCCATCGTGGCAACCATGGCCAATGGCCTCTTTCTGGCCAGCTTTTTCAATACTTACAGGCTCATCAGTGGCAGTCTTTTTTTAAAAAAAGTCTTTGTCAGCCGGGCGTGGTGGCTCACGCCTGTAGTCCCAGTGCTATGGGAGGCCGAGGCGGGTGGATCACCTGTGCTCAGAGGTTCGAGACCAGCCAAGACCCCCCTGAGCCAAATGAGCCAGAGTGAGACCCCATCTCTACAACAACAACAACAACAGGACAACGAGACAGCCAGACCTTGTGATTCCAGCTCCATGGGGGGCAAGAAAACACTACAGGAGGAAGAAGTAATAAAAAAAAAAATTAAAAAAAAACCCTTCAAAGTAATAAAGTTGAAATAAAAAAAAATTAAAAAAAAAAAGTCTTTGTCACCATGTCAGGACTGTGTTCAAGGGCTTAAGAGAAAGGAACAAGGAGGAGATAGATAGGACCAATGACCGAGGGGAGTCTGAGGAGAAGATAGAGGGCAACGCCTTCAGATGCCCTCTGTTTTTGTTAAGCATATTGTCTTTTTTAAATAGAAGTGAAAGCTACCTTATAAGAAGTGATTTGGAATCGTATAAACAAGGAATGGGTCCTTGTTAGTTTGAAAAATAATGTTTAAACCCTGAATTTGTGTGAATATGTCTTTTTGAATTTTTAACGTCCATGTGACTTCTGTGACTTCAGGTGCTACTCGTGAGCAGTAGTCGGCATCCAGACCGATGGATTGTCCCTGGAGGAGGCATGGAGCCTGAGGAGGAGCCAGGTGTGGCAGCAGTCCGTGAAGTCTGTGAAGAGGTATGCATGGAAAAGAAAGGGCACAGCTCTATACCTTGTAATCATGAACTTGTCCCATGTGTGTAGTTCTTTAATTTATCACCACTCTGGGAATAAACATAATCACAGAAGATAAATTTTAATGGTTACCACATGCCTCCTTTATTAAAGGGGTTGATTGAGTAGTGACATGGTAATGTTTATCAGGTGCTTGATGGAGGAAGAGAGTTTGAGGTGGTGAGTGTACCTAATTATGCTAGATAGTCCTTTATGACTTCTCAAGGATTTTTTCCAACTCTTTCTCTGTAACCTGGAGTAGAAGATCAAGAATTAAATAGTTCCTGAGTCCTAAGAAGTAGGAGGAACAGTCTGCATTAGTATAAATGGCTCATTTTCATTACTGTTGGATGCAGAGGAGGAGACCCCTGTTCTTCGGTACTTCCTGGGTCTTAGCCATGGGTGTAAATAAAGCAACAATTATGTTAGCTAGAAGCTGGTAATGGTGCAACTTGAGAGATAATAGTATCTTTTACATTTAGTCAAATGATGTTCGACATATATGTATTCAGTACCTGGACCATACTATCTTACTGGCTACTTAGGAATATAGCTAATATAGTTAGAAGAAGTAATGTTGTGGACCCTCAGGAGGAATAACTAATGTTTCTCCATAGCCTCTTACGGCGATGTTCTGCTCTGCTTGGCCTTACTTCTGTTGTCTCATTTAGTTCTCATAACTTATGATGTAAATTTTTTTTTTTTTTTTTAGACAGAGCCTCAAGCTGTTGCCCTGGGTAGAGTGCTATGGTATCATAGCTAATAGCAACCTCCAACCCTTGGGCTTAAGCAATTCTTTTGCCTCAGCCTCCCAAGTAGCTGGGACTACAGGTGCCTGCCACAATGCCTGGTTGTAGCTGTCATTGTTGTTTGGCAGGCCTGGGCTGGATTTGAACTCACCAGCTCTGGCATATGTGGCTGGCGCCTTAGCTGCTTGAGCTATAGGTGCTGAGCTGGTGATGTAAATTGTATTGCCCTGATTTACTTATCCTCACCATACAAGTAATACTTTTTTTTTTGTTATTGTTGTCACAGTTTGCCGGCGGCCGGGTTTGAACCCACCACCCTCCATATATGGGTCTGGCGCCCTACTCACTGAGCCACAGGCACCTTCCTAAGTAATAATTTTTAAATCTATTTTTTTTTTTTTTTTTTTTTTTTGGACAGGAGGTAGGATTTGTTATTGGTAGGCACAAATGAGAGGCAGCACAGTTTAAGTCCTCATGAGAGCAGAGCCCACCACTTGTCCAAGGGCCACAATTGGGGATGTATTTGACCCCACAGCCATCTGAGATGAGCCACTTCTCAGCCACCATGTCTTCAAATACACCTGCGTTAAATTTAATAAAGCCCCACTTCTTGTAGATATGAATCTTCTGGCAGCTAAGGAACTTGAACTTGGCCCTGTGTATGTAAGGCCTCAATCACATGCTCCTTGTTTTGTAATTTGGTGCAGATGGATGTGATTAAAAGTGCCCTGGGACTTTCCAAAGGCACTATGCATACCTGTCTGGAGCCTAGATTGAGGACAGCATAGGATCTAAACACATGCACATCTGTTGGAAAGGAATACCTTCAAGGTCCCTTAGAGCAACCTATATAAGCAACAGACTGCATACACTACCAAGGAGGCTGCTCTTTGTAGCCATTGTACCTTTTTTTTTTCTTTTTTGAAACATAATCTCACTCTGTTGCCCAGGGTAGAATGCCATGGCATCATAGCTCACAGCAACCTCAAACTCTTGGACTCAAGCAGTCCTCTTGTGTGGGACTGTGGGCGCCTGCCACAATACCCAGCTAATTCTATTTTTAGTAGAGACAGGGCTTGGCTCTTGCTCAGGTTGGTCTTGAACTGCTGAGCTCAAGGGTTCCTCCTGCCTTTGCCTTGTAAAGAGCTAGGATTACAGATGTGAGGCACCATGCCAGCTCTTAAATCCATTTTCTTGTTCTTGAGGGGATTTAAGACTTGATTCAAAGGGCATATGAAATAGCACTTAGAACAAGTCTAACTTCTTTGTTTTGGGGGGATCAAGCTCATCCTATAGTCCTCTTAGACTAGTGGTTCTCAACCTTCCTAATACCGTAGCATTTTAGTACAGTTTCTGTGGGTCACGACCCACAGGTTGAGAACCTTTGTCTTAGACTATTCTTACCCTTGAAATAACCAAAGGATTCTTTCCTCACTCAGAACTCAAACAAACTTAAATTGGCTAATGTCACTCTCATTTTATCATGTATCTTGTATTCATAACTAAGTTATAATCTATAAGGGCAAAAATCCTGCTTCCCGTTTAAAATACTCCTTTTTTGTGCCTAGCACACAGCTAGATGAACAGAAAAAAATTAATACTTGTCTTCTTTGATAGATGGAACAATGGCTAGAACAATGCAAATGCTGAAGAAATACCCAAAATGAACATGGGATTCTAGTACTCTGAGAGGCTAAGGCAGGTGGATTGCTTGAGCTCACAGGTTCTAGATCAGCCTGAGCCAGAGCGAGACCTCCTCTCTAAAAATAGTGGGCATTGTGGCGGGTGCCTATATCCCAGCTACTGTGGGGGCTGAGGCAAGAGAATCACTTGAGCCCAAGAGTTTGAATTACTGTGAGCTATGATGCTTGGCACTCTACTGGGGGCAACAAAGTGAGACTCTGTCTTGAAAAAACAAAACAAAACAAAATGAGCATGGGAAATGATAAACATCGACAAAGACAGTGTGAGAAGACATTCTTACAGTGGGTGGTACAGAGGCTAACCTGGGTAGAACCAGATGGAATCAAGAGGGGTATGATAAAAAGAACATTGACATGGGAATCGTGGTTTCTGATACTGTCAGTTAATAGTTGTGTGACCTATGAGAAAAATAACTTTATTTTTATTATTATTATTATTATTTTTAGACAGTCTCACTATTATTGCCCAGGCTTGAATGCCGTGGCCTCAGCCTAGATCACAGCAACTTCAAACTCCTGGGCTCTAGTGATCCTCCTGCCTCAGCCTCTCAAAGTAGTTGGGGCTATAGGTATCTGCCACCACGCTTCCCTAAGTTTTCTGTTTTTAGTAGAGACAGGGTCTCACTCTTGATCAGTCTGGTCTCAAGCTCCTGAGCTTAAGTGATCCTCCTGCCTTGGTCTCCCAGAGTGCTAGGGGTTACCTGAGAAAATAACTTTAAACTTCCTTGAACATTTGAATACCTTCCTGTTGACCCCATCATGGAGAGATGAGAGGAGAGTGTGAGAATGAAATGAGAATGCTGTCCTTTGTAAGTTATACTACATATTGTTCAATACCAGGTTAACTGCTGGGCGCAGTGGTTCATGCCTGTAATCCTACCATCCTGGGAAAATGAGACGTGTAGATTGCTGGAGTTCAGGAGTTCTAGACCAGCCTGAGCAAGAGCAAGACCCTGTCTCTAAAACTAGCTGGGCATTGTGGCAGGCACCTATAGTCCCAGCTACTGGGGAGATTGAGATAAGAGGATCAGTTGAGTCCAGGAGTTGGAGGTTGCTGTGAGCTATGACACCATGGCACTCTACTAAGGGCAACAAATTGAGACTCTGTTTCCAAAAAAAAAAAAAAAAAATCAGATTTATTATATCACATAACAAGGAGTCAAGTATCAAGAGCCCAGGTGCTCCCCATCTTTCTGTTCTGCTGTCTTTAGTACATTGGCTTTTATTTTCAGGCTTGTCTCCTTATGGTCCTGAGATGACTACCATAGCTTTATCCTCACACATTCTCTTCAGATGCAGGACACACAATTTCATTTCATTGCTCTCTTTTTATTTGGGAAAGAAGAAACCCTCCCTAGAAGTTCCCTCAGCAGACTCTATATGTCTGGTGTTCTAGAGGGATTCACATGCCCATGCTTAAACTAATTCCTGGCAAAGGAGATAGTGGTTCCATATTTAAACTACTAGAGTCTTCATCCTCTGGGATTTGACTTTCAGAAGCCTCTTAGACTTTTTGCAGGGGTGTCTGATCCAACCTGTGGGCCACATGCTGATTTTGTGAGGACTTTTTGCTACTGGGGTGTTGGATATCATGAAAAGTATGCATAGACCTTTTTATTTATTGCTAAATCAGCTTTTGTTAGTTTTTGCCATATTTACTCTGTGTTCTAGACAACTCTTACTCTTCCGGTGTTGCAGAAAAGAAAAAAAAATTGGACACCCTTGTAAAGCAATTTAAAAGCTTGGCCAGGAGGAAAAGATACAATCTTCAGAGTTTATTTTGTTAGAAATTTAACTTACATTGGCTCGGTGCCTGTAGCACAGTGGTTACAGTGTTGGCCACATATACTGAGGCTGGCGGGTTGGAACCTAGCTTAGGCTAGCTAAGCAGCAACGACAGCTGCAACAGGAAAATAGCTAGGAGTTGTGGTCAGCACCTGTAATCCCAGCTACTTGGGAGGCTGAGGCAAGAGAATTGCTTAAGCCCAAGAGTTTGAGGTTGCTGTGAGCTGTGGTGCCATAGCACTCAACCGAGGGCGACATAGTGAAACTCTGTCTCATAAAAAAAAAAAAAAAAAAAAAAAGAAGAAAAGAAAAGAAAAATTTAACTTATATTGAGATATACCAAATATATGTTTATTCTGTAAGGTAAAAGAATGGATAGATAATGTATAATTTTAGAGTAGGAAAAATTCATTATTTAGGTTATACAGTCTGTCACAACTATTCAGCTCTGCCATTGTAGGACAAAAGTAGCCATAGACAATACGTTACATAAGCAAATGGGCCTGGCTGTGTTCCAGTAAACCTTTATTTATAAACACAGTGGTGAACCATAATCCCTGGTTTAAGCTCTTTAGAGTGTGGGTGGTGGACCAGCAACATCAGCATCAGCCATGAGCTTGTTAGAAATGGAAAGATCCCAGGTCCCCATCTAGACCTATCATATCAGATGTGATTTTAATAGGACCCTTTGAGAACCTACTGTATTAGACTGTTGAATTCTTAACAG